GAACTTGTTTATGAATCAAAAAGTTGATTCCCTCTTTACAGCAAATGCCATCTACAATCTGCCAGGCATGCATTAGGCCATAGGGGACATATTACGCCTCAGAAAACAAGGCAATTGCTCATAAATTACCTCCGGGTAGCACAAATGGTTAACAGTGCTCAGCTACTAACGGAAAGGCTGGAGGTTCAAGTCCACACAAAGTGGCTTCAGAAAGACCTCGGGATGTGCTTCTTTAAAAGGATCAACCATTAAACACCTTATGGAAAACAGTTCTGACACCCATGGAGTCACCATCAATTAGAGTTGACTTACTGGCATTTGATTTGACCTTTTACCTTTTTTTTAAATTGATTGCTCTGATTCTAATGCATGAAATAGTCAAAGTAGACATTTTAATACAACTCAGTGATGAGGATAAGACAATCTAAAGTCCCCTCACTCCATTATTTGTTTTTATACTTTAAAAATTTTATTATTTTGTGTGTGTGTGTGTGTACTGTCAAATCGGATCTGACTGGTACAGGTGGAGATTGCCCCTCCTTCTCCAGCAGAGCATCTGGTGGATTTGAATTGCGTGCCTCTGGGATTGTAGTGCGGCTTCTTGCCACTAGGCTACTAGAGCTCCCTCTGCCTAATTCCACTATTAAGAAAGGAGTATTTGCACCAAACATTTAGCGTCAAGCTAGGAGTCTCAGTGGCTAATGTATGGATCAACTGTGGTCACCTCAAAATATGTATTGTGAATCCTAACCTCTGGTGGCCGAGTGGTAAGAAGCTGCGCTGCAATCCCAAAGCCGTGCTGTTGAATCTGCCAGCCGCTCCACAGGAGAAAGACAGGCCATGTCCCCCTGTGGAATTAGCTGTCTCTGAAAACCCACTGTAGTGTTCGCTATGGTTTAGCTCGGACTCAGTGGTACACAAGAAGAAGTCTGTGGTTACAATCCCACATGTGGGAATGGATTGCCCTCACCATGTCAATGAGGCAGGATTAGTGTAGGGTGTATCAGTCAACTCCTTTTGAAACATGAACCACTTGAAACAACAAATTAGCAGAGTAGAGACAAGGGAAGAGATGTTCCAACCCACAGGAAGACCACCCAGGAGCAGTAGCTCAGAGACAAGGACCTTCTCCAGACGCAGAGACAGAAAAAGCCCCTGGGGCTCACACTCTGAAGTGAGGCTTTCTGCATCCTGAACTGTGAGAAATTAGATTTCTGTTTGGGAAAAGTCACCCATTTGTGGTATTCCTGTTATTACAACACCAGCTAATGAAGGTGGCTGAGACATAAGACAGGCATTATGACCCTTCCCTGCCCAGGGAACAGCAGACGCCAAAGGGCATCAACTTGTCTCTTCCTTGCTCCCCACTCCCCCACAACCCTCTCTTACATGGAAAAATGAAATCTTCAACGCTCACCAGAGACGGAAAGGCCCTACATGAACTGACTCTGAGTTGTCTCCGCCCCCTCTCCCCTCACCCCCTTCCCTCCAAACATCCTGACCTCCTGTTGCTGTCATCATGTGCTACTGAGTCAGCTGATCCTCCAGCAGGTTTTCAGGGGCTGTAAATCACATGGGAGGAGACTGTCCATCTTTCCCCACTGGAGCAGACGGAGGATTCAAATCACATGTTTTAGGGTTGGCAGCAACTTCTTACCAAGAGGCTTCCAGAGAGGCCTTGTAGAATCCTCAAACACACCAGCCATAGCCCTGCCTGGAGCCTTGACACCTGTGGTTCCTTCTTCCTGGAGTGCTCTTTCCCAGACACCCTCAAGACTCATTCTACTCAAAAGTCACAGGCAGGATGTCTTCCCTGACTCCAGCGTCTACAGTGGCTCCCCACTCAGCAAGCCTCTCTTGTCTTCTAACACTGGCAGCTTCCAGCATTATTCTATATTGCATTCTGTCTTCTAACACTGGCAGCCTCCAGAGTTACTCTACATGGCATTTGCCTGTGTTGACCTCTTCAGCTCTGTCTCTTCAACTATGAAAGCAAGCCCCAAGAGGACAGAGGCCTCTTCTGTCTTGGGTTCATAGAGAGCCCTCGAACTCTGTAACTGCGCCTGGCTCGTGGCAAAAGCTCACTAAGTATTCGCTGAATGGACGAATGAATGAGATGATGGCAGGAGAGGGCTTGGATGGTCCAGGGACCCACAGTTCTGTGACTGGCATGTAGGATGTGAAAAGAGAAGCAAAAGAAAAGGGGGTTGGAAGAAATATGTTCCCTAGAAAGAGACAACTTCTTTAATTCTTGTTTCTATCTTGCTATCATACTCACCCCATTTTTTTTCCCTTTCTCTTATTGTGTCAGAACTGACTCATAGCTGACCTTCTGGCAGGTTCTCTGAGACTGTAAATAGCTCAGAAAGAGACTGTCTATGTTCCTCCCACAGAGCAGCTGGTATTGCAAATCGGACCTGGCCTTTCACTCAACAACTAAATACCCTACGAACTAGGGCGCCAGAGCCACCTTCCATCCCACTGGCAATAACAATCCTTTGACCAACATTCTATTTGTGTGTGTGTGTGTGTTAATAATATGTTTTAGCCTGTGAATAATTTCTCAGTAACACTCTCTTGAAGTTTATGGAGCGAGCGATGGCATCTTAATGGGATTAGATTTGTCTGGGATGGGACAGAGCTTGGAACCAAATGACTGAGTTGTCTCTAGTGGGGTTCCTGTGGGACTCAGTAGTGCCTGCTTTCTTCTTTTGTTTTCCTTTGTCCTCTTCTCTCCCAACCTCATGATTTCTAGATCATGCCCCTTTGAGTCACGACTCATAGCTGACCCTCCAGTGGGGTTTTCAGCGGCTGTCAATCTCATTAGAAGAGACTGCCCATGCTTTTCCTGCAGAACAGATGGTAGATTTGAAGTGTGTACCTTTGGGACTGCGGCACAGTTTCTTACCACTAGGCCACCAAAGAGAGGGTTACCACCTCCAGCATCCAAATGTTCCAAGCTGGAGAATAACTCTCAGGCAAGACTGAATAGACTTTTAAATACAAAGGCCCGCCTACCAGGCCCTGAATGCTACAACAACAGGCTTCCAGCCCAAAGCTGATTATTAATGAAATCAGAAACAGCCAATCAGCTTACACTTGATTGTTAACAAACTGAAAATTGCCAAACCGTTTACATCCAGCTTTCCTTAACCAACATTTTCAACTATTGCTAATCCTTGGTCTCACAGTATAGTGACTGAAGAATCCAGGAGATAAAATATAGCTTAAGAGAAGTGTAAACAATCTCTTGGCTTCTTTTGAAGAGAAAGATCTATAGATTTTTTTAGCAACATAGAATCTTACTAGAAGGGACCATAATGGTAGTTTGATACCAAACACTTGCTTGAATTTTACAAGGTAGTAAGTAAAAGGAAATACATACACTCAAGTATACAAATGGCTGTGTTGACGGATTCCTTTTTCTGTGGGTCCAGGAAATGAGGGATTTTCTAGAATTCCATCTAGAAAGCCAGTCACAGAACTACTAAGATTAAGATTAGGAGGTTACACAGGGAGACAATACCAGCTCCAGAACGGCACAAGAACAGAACCGGAGCAGAAAAAACTGAGAGTGGTCATTAACACTGGATTCCTATCTGGAACGACAGTGAGCCCTGATGGCGTGGTCCATAGGGAGCTGCACTGCCAACCCAAAGACAGTGTGCACCTTCTGGTGGTTCAAATCCACTAGCAGCTTCACAGGAGCAAGATAGGCCATCTCTTCCCATGTGATTGCCAACTTCTTAAAAACCAGCAGAAGGGTCAGTTATTAATTGGTTCTGACTTGATTGGAATAAAGGAGAGTTGATCTAGAATGAATGTCATTTGTGAGATAGGGAGCTCTGGTGGCTTAGTGGTAAGAAACTGCACTGCTATTCTGAAGGCATACAAGTTCGAATCCACCAGCTGCTCTGCAGGAGAAGGATGGGGTAATTTCCTCTCATGAGATTAACTGCCTCTGAAAACCTGCTGGAGGGTCAGCTATGAGTCAGTTCTACCTCTATGCTACTCAACAACAACTACATACCAGAAAACAGAGCCAAATAAATACTTAGATACTTTACATCGATTATTCTTTTCATTCCCATAGCAGTAACAGGAGGTAGATATTCTTAATATTCCTATTTCGCAGAGGAGAACACAGACCTTTCCAAAGGTAACCTCTGGTTAGCATACGGGTTTTAGGATTCAAACCCTATATGGCTTCAAAGTCTGGGCTTTAAATGATCTGACCAGCTGTTCCCACTCACCTACTCTTTTACATGTACCATAGAATAGGCTCTTTCTGAAAGTATTTTTTCAACTCCTTCAGTGTGAAAAATAGTTAGAGTTAAAGAAGTGATGCCTTCATTCCAGCCTTCACTTCTCTAATGGTTACTTGGGGGTGTGAGAGGGGAACAACAAACCACAAACACACAAAAGAAAAACCCCACAAGGAAAGTGGGATAGGGAAGGGGTCACAGAAGCAGATCAATTCAGAGGTCAACCCATAAGGGTTCAAAATCCGCCAACCAAAGCCTCGCTATAGTCATCTCCTCAAAAAGGTTCAATGACTCTTCCTCATAGACATCTGCAGTTTGAAGTTCCCTCCCTCCTCTTCTCTTGAACTGAGTCTGAACTTGCCCTGTATTTGACACTGTACCTCTCTGGCCATTTACACAGAAACAGTGTTTAAAAAGGCAAAGATCAACCACATCACTTGAGGCCAAACACTCGGCTTCATCCTTTTGTTTCTGCTTCTGGAGTTTTGTTAAGTCATCTTAAATATAGAAAACATTATTTAAATGGATTCTTTATTAAGAGTCATATAAAATCAATTTCATTTCTGGCAAAGAGAAAGCAAATGAGTGATGGAGTTTTCTCATTGTAAAGGGAACAGTTATGTAATCAGCCCACATGGAAGAACCAGGCTGAAGTCAACATGATCAAAGACTAAAATAGCCCTGCCTCACTTGGCAAGTCCAGACTACAGTTGGGGGGTGGCAGGGGGCACGTACTTCTCATACAGCCTCTGTCCTCTCATGAAGGCCTTCACTTCATTGTCCAACGGGAAGGTGCCGTCATCCTTTCGAAAGCGGTAGAAGAGTTTGACATCCTTGAACTCCTTATGTTCATCACACACTGAAACAACATACACAGAACAATAAATGAAGGGGAACGTGCTCTTACTTAATTAGTCAAGTGAAAGAAGTACTAGATGGCGGCTAAGAACTACTTCAAGTAGATAAATTCCTACCAATAATTTTATTTATATAGAAAAAATATAAATATATTTTATATTTATATAAGTATATAAATAATATTTATTTATATCTATAAACAATATAAATGTATATAAACGCATCGTATACATTTATAGTACAGTACCTTGTAGGCACAGAGTAAGTGCTCATTACTGGTAACTAACTAATTATTATCATTAGTGCCTATTAAGAGTATCATAAAATTCATCATTCACATGCTAATTTTTCTTAAATGTAATACTAGGACAGATATAAGTCTCATAAAATGCACAATTTAATGATATTCAAAAAGAAATGTTAATATCATTGTAAGGTTATCAATGGGGAACACAAAGGGGTGTAGTCAATCAGATTTAGGAAGGAAAAGCTCCTCTGAAGGGTGTACATGTCTACGGCCATACCACCCTGAACACGCCCGATCTCGTCTGAAGGGAGTACAAGTAGACAGAAACTTCAAGGCCACGTCAGGCCAAAATGAGGAGAAAGGCTCCTCCAGTTCAAGGGAACAGCACAGGCGTAGGGCAAAGGTTGAGATTTCAAGGAGATGTTTTTAGGAATGTTCAATGGACTATTTCACGTGGAAGCAAGATCTATGAAACCATGTAAATTTCCATCGTTGGGATCATGAATAAATGTATCTATTAAATGACTGGTAAACATATGACCACAGACTCATACATGGACGATTACATAGTGAAAACAAAGTAGAAATATTATCAACATAGACGCCTCTCACACACAGCCTGTTGACCAAACAGCAAAACAACAGATAGTTATCTCAATAAAGCACAGAAAGCAGTATGAGACATTGCTCAGAGACACATACACAGAAAGTAAAAGCATGAAGAACTACATGAAAATACACACAAATAACTCCTGGGGGGAAGGGGATAGAATGTGATTGGGTGGAGATACAAGATAGACAAAATAAAAGTAAAATTTCCTGTTTGTGAATTAGGTAGTTTCGTGGGAGAAATGGAATATTTAGTCTTCTCTTTCCTCTCGAGTTACCTTGGCAGCCCCACCTCACTCACCGTGGTGAATGATGCCCCGGTCTGCTAATTTCTGCATGAGTTTAATTGCCGTCTCTCTGTCAGACGCCTCTTTGTGTTCAATGAGCCAGTCAATCAGCTCTTTTGCAACAAAGCAGTTTGGGTAGGTTTTGAGATGATGTCGTCTATCTTTAATCACCTTCTCTTCATGGAGCCTGAGCCTGGAAAGGAAATTGAGCCACAGCTTTAGCCACTTTGGATGACAACATCAACCATTAAACCAATCCGGCAGGAAGAAAACGGAAACACATGAGGGTGTCATTAAAATATCTTCCGAGAACTTGGTAATTTTTGTACCATCAACACCCAAAGGTCGCAGAAAGTCATTCCCTCTCATACCTACGTGTTATCTGAACATATGGAAGAGTAACGTAGCCAGCTCCAAGCTCTTGTCGTCCAAGAGGGTGAGTGAGAAAGCTCTCCCAGCCCTTCCCTTGGCCTCCCTCCTACACCTTTCTGTCTCCACCAGAACAATTATTACTCCAAAGATCCAATATCAAAAACTCTAGCAACATGCTCATGTAAGATTCCTTTTCCAATCACACATTACCCAGGGTCCAGTTATTCATTCATCTACTACTTAGTGCCTATTAAGTACTGTTTTAGGAACTAGAGACAAAAGTTAGAACATTTGCGTAGCCTCCTGCCTCGTGGAGGCTTGCACTCCAACAAGCAGAATGGCTAGTCTTGTCGTGATACATATTAGATAAGTTCTAGGTCCTGATCTGAACATTGATTAACTCCCGAAATCACAGCAACTTCAGTTACGCTCATGTTTTACCAGACAGAAAACCAAGGCCTGAGAGACATTACTTGCTTCTTGTTCTTTGTTGTTGGGAACCATTGAGTCAACCATGACTTACAATGACCCTAGGAGCAAAGATCAGAGCCTTGTCCTATCCTGTGCGATCATCATGATCTTAAATGACTCTACTAAAGCCAACACTAATAGCAAGTAGTGACAAATGAGATTGAAGTCTCCAGTTTTGCTTAAAAATCCAGCTCTCCAAGTATGATAGCATGCTGCCTCTGACTCTATAGCTAAAAAAAAGGAGAAAATGGTAAATTTGGGAGAGATGGATTCAAACTGCTGGAAAAACACTATTTATAGGCTAGTAGATTTGTGTAGAGGAAAGTGGTTGGCATGGAGCCTTCCCCTGCTTTCAGAAGTCAGTGATTTTTCTTCCTAAAACACCTTAACCTACTGTTTTCTTGTTTAACGATGTTTTGTTTTGTTGTTCATTTACCTTCCATTCCGTTCCCACCCCTGCATTTACTTTATTCCTCAAATGAAAGATGTGAATGAAGTGAAGCACCAGGTCATTTCCCCCCTAATTCAACCACCTGGCTTCTCTGGACTGGACCTCACAGTCTCAATACTGTTAGAAATGGGAGATCTGTATAAATAAACTACATGGTAAACGTGTGATCTGAGTACGTTAGTTGACCTTCCTTTTCTCCTCTATCTAACAGACACTCAGACCTACCTTATCATTGGTCAGGGTGCGCTTTCGGGCTATGATATATATTAAGCACCGTCAACTCAGTGCAGTGCCTGAACATAGCAGGTTCCTTCCTGTGGGGTAAGAGATTGATTTTTTCACAATGGCTTTCCTAGCCTTTGGCTTTGTCTTTCATCACAAGCCCGAGTGGGACTAGGCTAATGGTGTGAATGGTGCCACACCGTTGGGAACATGAAAATCAGGTGTGTAGACTACTAATAATAGTGTTGGTCAGTCTAGTCACCCCATTAGGCTTAAACTAAGCACGTGCAGAGGTAGATTATGGGAATCTTGCTGACACTAAGAAAGAAGAGCCTAAAGAAACCATAACCGCCACCCAAGCAGTTACATGCACACCCATGTTTATTGTGGCTTTGTTCACAATAGCAAGGAGTTGGAAATAACCTAAGTGTCCAGTAACAAACGAATGGATAGAGAAGCTGTGGTATATTCACACAATGGAATAATATGCTGTATTGAAAAACAAGGAACTCATGAAATACTATGCAAAATGGATGAGACCCTGGAGGACATTATGCTGAGTGAAATATCTTAGTCACAAAAAGACAGATATTGCATAGGACCACGGTGGTAAAACGGGACTGACATTGGGGTTGAGTGAAAGTATAGAAGGAGGGGAGGAATGATGTGTACTGCACTGAAACAGATGAGAGAGAGAACTGTTTAAAAGGGATAAATGAGTGGGTATTATTGTCATGACAGGAGTCCAGAATGAAAGCTGCATAGTGGAATGGACTTGGGGGGAGGGACTGTATAACAATGAAAGAGTTTTTCTTTTACTTTTCAATGAGAAGAGTGAATTGGGGGAGTGGGGGTAAGCAGGGAGAAAAGTGCAACAACGAATGACTGGAAACCCTAAGCGTCTGTAAACTTTCATTAAAATTAATTTTTAAAAAGTCAAGAAAAAAA